CTATAAAAAAGTAGGCTTAATTGAATAGAGTTGCTTAACTGAAGCTTCGTTGGTGATAGTGTCCAGGGTCACTGATGAGGAGTGGAATTCTCCGAAACTAGTCTGGCTCACAGATGCGCACCCCCAATGAAAGAATAGACAATTCCAAGCTTTTACTTGTTAAACAACTCTTTTCAATTATGTACCAGCTGCCTAGTGTCGGCTAACAATATGAAGAATTAAATTGTGACGGAATGCTACAAGTTGTTCAAATACCTATAGAATGATAAGTTTCTTTTTTGTGAGTGTAAAACTCTTAAATACACCGTTTTGAAAAGTATATATAATTTGCATAATAATTTACAAAACAACTTTGTAGATGAACATTTCAACTATTTTTATTTACGTCATATTGGTTCCTGACATTTTTCTATGGTGGGTTTGTTCTTTGGTTTACAAATTTATGCTGATACCTCACACTATTCTTTAAGTTAAGGATAGTTATGAAACTCATTAAGTGGTCATGTCATTTTGTGTGTCCTCATTAACACTGGTTTCCAGTTGGCTTGGAATATCAATGTGATGGATGTGGATTGAGCATGAAATTATTTACAATAAATTTACAGACAGCTATTAAGGCTTCATTATGACCTTTGTGATATATATGCTGGTTAAGATGGTCTTGATGTAGCAAGTATATTGTTAATAAGTACTCCATTTAAAATCTAATCATTACTATGATAGGTTATATTATGATGATGATCTGAACAGTTGCTTCTAATCTATTTTTAGAAATATCCCCCCCCCAAAAGAAATTTTTAATTTATTTTTAACATTAAATTCTTCATTAGTATTTAAAGTTTATCTATTTTTACTCTTTTTATTATTAATTGAGTTCAAAGCAATGCTTATGGCAGCACCTTGTTGGGAAGTCTTTTCCACATGAAGGATTTTGAAGTTCTAGAACTCCCTCTGTTTATTAATACAATTAAGTCAGAACTACAGGTTTACATGAAACTGTTGAATATTCAAAGATCCAATTTTAGTGTAAGTAACGAGACTTTTTGTAGACATTGTACGTATATATATATATATATATATGATGACGGGTGGGGATATTTTTCCTGATAAAGATGAAATGTCTGAAGATTTTTCTTATCTCGTTAGAAAATATACTTGTATTCATTTAAGAAGGAATCAGGTTTCAAATGAATTTATATCTGGGAAGTTTGTTGCTTTTAGTTAAATATAAATGTTTGTAAGATCATGGCGACTTTTCCGAGATTTATCTTGCTCAAAATTATCGGTTTTGAACAACCTAAAGGAACTGATTCAGGACAGTGCTCTAAAACTTTAGGATAAAATAAAGTCAGATCATTCCCCAGATCTACTGCATTTTTTTTGACAATATTGACATTTTTTTAACATATTTATCTAAATCTTTATTAACATCCTAGAATGAAGAAGCTTGTATGTGATAGAATTCTTTATTTTTCAATTTTAGTACATGCATGTATATAATTAAAAAGTTTGGTAACCAGACATTCCACTTTATGCAATAAAAACCCAAGACATTTTAGTTGTTGTTGTTGTTGATCATTTACTTTGGCATGTACTTTCATAAAAACATTAAAACACTTGGTTTTCTCCAAATAAAATCTGAAGTACATGACAGTGTCATTTACCATTCATGAAATTTTCAACAGAATCCTACATATCTCGATAATGCTTGTATATATATATATATATATATATATATATATATATGTGCTAATAGTTACTAAGTAAAAGTAAGTTAGTATTAGTTTAAT